CAAGTTAATGTCAACATTGAAGCTGTACATGCATGAGTACGGGTACATGTGGGTGTTGTGAAAAGCTGCCAACCCTTTAACTCCCACATTTCTTTGGAAGTTAGTTGTGAAGATTTCATGTTAGATCAAGATGACAACTTCTATCTGATAAGTTTGAGTATTCTTGTTACCTGTTTTTCAGATAATATATGGATATTATAGAGAGAAAATACATGTTAATCACTTCTGGGAGTTAAAGGGTCAAATGCAGCGAATCTTTTGCTTATATTTTTTGATAAAATGACCTGTATGAGTACACTTCTTTTTTTTTTTAATCTTGTTTTTCCAGTCCACGCTTAATTCTAATTTTTCAACCAAATGTCATATTGTTTTTAAATTTATTTGGATCTCCTGGTATTAGTTATTACAGATCTATTTAAATATTTTCTGTACTGGAAATTGCATGAAATTGTGCAGGTGTATGGCGGCACATAAAGATTTTGACACGTTATAGTAAAATCAGTGAAGTAAACAGTTTTAACTTTCGCTGCCTAGACTGAAATCGTTTGCCTTCGTTTCTTTCAATTTTGGCTCGTTTTCCAAGACCAAAGTTAACAGTGGCGCGAAATAAATATCATTTCAACCGTTAATGAATCTTACATGTCATCGGAAGACATGACTAGCATGCGTGTTGATCGCTTATCAAGTCGTGAGGATATAGTCCCTAGGTTGCAGGCCCTGTTAGTTCCCCCTTTCTCTCGTCCCATTTCCCATCTTTCTTTCTCCCTCCACCCTTTCCCTCCCCCGCTCACCCCTTTCCCTCACCCCTTCGCCCCTTTTTCTTCCCTCTTCCCTCCTGAGAATAATTCCTGAGTGTCAGGAATTGGATGTAATGATAAAACAGCTTAAATTGGCTCCTAAAAGCTACATTTTTTTTATGTATTGTGGATTTGGTCAAAAGCATTGGTCAAAGCTCTTCAGTGTCAATAATGTAACAAAACAATTGTCAACAGGGTTAAACCGATACTAACAGAGAAAATCGCATTATTGCTAATTTTTTTTTCAAAATCATTATTATTATTATCATCATTATTATTATTATTTGTATTTTTTTATCATTATTTAGGTGAGACGTCTAGGAAAAGAAAACTTGACCTTGTGGCGGTCATTTCCGGCGGTGCAGAAGTCACAAGAGGACTCCAGAAAAACATAACATTAAATGCGTCATTGTCGTATGACCCGGAAATTGCACATGGCAACCGATCAGGAATGAAATTCACCTGGCATTATGGCAAAGTCGCAAGAAATCACTCCAGTAAACAAGCGGAGGCGAAGGCGGATAAAGATTTCTTCATGGCAGTAAACGAGTCAGCCATTCATTACAATAGAAATGCATCTGGCGAACTAGTTTCCTTAAACACCGAAGCTCTGTCTGTTAATCAGACCTACATAGTTAAACTGGTATTGACCAAGGACAGTCGTATTTCCACCGTTTATCAAGTTATCCATTTGATAGAAGGAGACCCACCAGAAATACATCAAAGGTTAGGATCTACTTTGTCTCTATTGTTATTTAGTTTGTTTGGTTTGTTTTTACAGTTGTTTTCGCTGCCGTTGTTAATACCTATATTTGCTCTTGACCCTGCTATTGCCTTTATTTTCTACTGTCACTTCTGTCGCCCAATTCTACCTGTTTTGTTTCTGGGTTTGTTATTTTTCGTTGTTTCTGCTTGCGTTTTTCTATATACTTTGTTATCGCTGTTAACTATAGTGTTATTGTTTGCATTGAAGTTTTGGTCATTACTGTTGTTGCAGCTACTTCATTAGCAGTTGTTTATATCAATTTTAAATTGCAGTCACTGATGCAGCTGTTCTTTTTAATTACATGATCTCATCAGACAACGGAAGTTCAAAACCCCTTCTTCACTGAGTGTTCGTCCAATCTTTTTGCTTCATTTTAGATGTTTCTTTAACTGTCAACCTAAAGTGAGTCCCTTGGTCAAACTTAGTATCAAATCACAATGCCGCGGATTACAGTGCTCTAAAATATCATCCTATGAGTGGAGGCTTTACCGGAAGTTCAAGCGAAACACCTCCTTTACTTGGCAGAGGAAACATGATTTACGTCTTATCACAAGTACACCACTGAATTCAAGTGACATTGTTATCAAAGGAGGTTCCCTTACTGGTGGAAATAAGTACCGCCTGGCACTATTCATAACAATTACGGACGGTTTAAGGGGAATGAATGCTTACGATTTTTCTACAGCAAGACCCCCTACAGGAGGGAACTGCTCGATCACTCCGTCAAGCGGCATCTCACTGAAGACTGATTTCAATCTGACCTGTAGCAACTGGGAAAGTGACAACACCCCTCTGTCTTACCTGTTTCAATACAGGCTAAAGGACGGTTTGTACAATGTGCTATACCGTGGCGTTAACAACAACATAAGTACCTCTTGGATACCGCCTGGGAACAATACAGATAATTTTACTGTCAAAGTTATCGCTACAGTGACTGACAATTTTGGAATTTCTACTTCCCCAATCTCTTTGACAGTTCAGGTAAGTCGCTAACCATTAATTTAATGTCTAGCATGAAAAGGTGTGAGAATATTTTAAAATTTCTTTTGGTCCCTATTAGTAATAGATTAGTTACAGTTATAGATACCTGCCTTTGTCTTTTGCAGATCAAGCCATCTCAGAACACAAGCCTTCTAATGGCAAAGGAAAGTATATTTCAGAAATTCATCGAGCTCAGAAACCTGAAAGAAGCGGCGCTAATAGCAAACTCTTTTATGCTATCAGTTTCACAAAAAACCTCAGGGGATTTGCAGGAGAGATACAAGGTACTTTTAAAACCCAACCTGTTCCTTAAAAAGTGAAACAAAACTAGTTCATTATGATCTTACCCGAAAAGCAAAGAGTTTACCGAGAGCTAAACACGCCAAAAGAAGGAATAAAGAATTTGTATTAAAAAACATAATAATAATAATAATAATAATAATAATAATAATAATAATAAATCAACTTTCGAAGATCAGACAAATATAAGACATTAAATATATGAACATATTTTTGAGAAAAATGTATGCTTGTGCGTTAAATATCTGATATTTTTGCAGCGCGAGAGTTGTGGCTACCACCTTGGATGTTCACTTTCCATTATTCTCGCGGGTTGATTGTATGAGCAAACAATTCCGTTTTCCGTTGTGACGAGTAACGAATGCTCAGGAGCCTTGAATTAAATCTCAAACGAAGACTTGCAACGTCTTGAAAATGAGGCTTCAAAGTTTATTTCATGGGCGGAAATCACCAGACATTTCTTTATTTCACATTGGACATTTTCGGTGTTTTGATGCATGCGAATCAATCATGCGCGTGCAAATTTATCATTTTGATGAGTTTTAACCAGCAATGTTATTGGGAAATCTGATGCGTTGAGTCTAAATATGCCTTTAGATGTATTATCTTTGGAACAAGCCTCATATGCGAAATACAGTCTCTTTACCTAATTCTTAACCGGTTTAAATAACATTAAGTTGATATGTGTATCGTTTTTTAAGGTTATAAATTACATCCTTGAAACCATTTCGCCCTTGGAAGTGAAAACTGTCTCCGACCTGCTGCAAAAGTCATCAGTTATCGGTTCTGCTCTTCATGTTCTAGAGAAAGTGCCCCACCAGTCTCTGGTAAGTTGATTGGGGCTGGCCTAGCATTGGTTGTTGCGTCAAGTTTTTATACCATGACACTATTTAGCCAGAAAGGCTCAAGAAACAACAACAATAACAAGAACAGCAAAGACGAAGAAAACGGAAACGAACAAGCATGAACAGCAAGCAACTGTTGTGTTATCAAATGAACCAATATATAATTTTGTATTTACTTTAACTAATTCGCCATAAATTATCTCTACAAAGATCACTAGAAAGGAATCTGATAGCTGATATTCTTTTAGCTTCCGTTTATATTTATTTGCATTCCACAGAATTTCTCCTTATCTGCTCTTAGTTCAATGACGTCACGGCTATGGTCTTTTGCCCAGAGACAAGACGTGGCAGACATACCGCTGACAAAGCAATCAGCAGAAAACTTGGCTTCATGTCTAAATACCGTGTTGAGGGCAACAGCAGTGACTGCATCAGAAGACTCCAAGTCAAGTTTTCAACAACAGGTATTGTAATGTTCATTTAGGTGATGTCGAAAAGTCTACGAATTAAATAGACTTTTGAAAACGTATTTATGCATGCAAGCATAATTATTAGACTTTATTCATTTGTGAATGGTCCATTGCAAATTGCTGTTAACTTAACCGTTACTCCCTTCTTCATTCAGATTTTGGACCTTGGTTTGTTTATTTGTTTTAAGCTTGCAAAAATCCACAATATGCCCACATTCTTCCATTTATGCAATTTGTATAGGGTAAACTATTGGTGAAGACTTCAATGGAGACCCTCGAGAAAGTTGCAGACTCATTGTTAGCCTTGACAGTAAAGGATGAAAGAACGATGCCATTTACAGTAGGACAACTTTCTATGACACTCGGAAGATTTAGCGTCCAAAGACTTTCAGGACTGGAAATAAAAGCAGGAAAAGGCCGGTTTATCTTACCTTCTAAGAGCCAATTGTTACTCTCTGGAGTAAACAAAACAAGTTTTGTAGATGTTCAGGTAGGGTACAGGCATATTTCAATGTAAAAGAATCAAATCAAGCTTGATTTTCTTAAGATCGCCTGAACTAAACCTTAAAACCGAGTTGATAACAGGATCAGATCTCCCTCAACCCACTGTCGTCGTTTTTTTATTCCGGTCTCGTGAAACTGGCTATGAAAATACTTAGTAATAGGTGACCACATGAATGTTATTTATGATTCGTTGTTTTTCAAATAAATTTTCAGTCTTATTTTGCCCTCAACTTATGATAACTTGTAATTAACAATAAGATGGAGTATCTTGTTTACGTGTTCAACTATAACAGTGCACAAGAACAAACAAGCAATATTTTTAATTTTCTTCTTTTAGATGCTCTCATTTTCTTTCAACCCGTACACTTGGGACAGCACAAAGGAGCGAGTTGGCTCGGATGTTGTAACCCTGCAGTTGAAAAACAACGACAGCAAGCTTATTAAAGTATCAAATCTCACGGAAGACATTGTTATCGTTACGCCTTTAAAACTTCAGAAAATCTCTGCTTCAGAAAAGTCATGGTATTTCACAAGGAACGATGTTCTACGTTTCCACGAGATAAAAGTCAAGTATGAAAACACCCTGCTGATGCTGGAAATCAAACCTCAAGATCCAACCGTACATCTGTTTGTCTATATGCGTTTTGGTCAGCGACCGACAACTCAAGAGTACGACCTCAATGCCACCATCTCTCATGACAGAAAGTGTGTTTGGATGATAAGCGCACATGACAAAAGTGAAGGGCAAACGGTCTGCTCCTTGAATCCACATGCACCGATACAAGTTCTGGCTGAGCGTCCTGGGAAATACTTTCTCGGCTTCAAAAATTATAATGCCACAGTGAACTTATCTAACAAAAGGGAGAAAAGGTCTTGTTTTGGTGGAGGGCGAAGGAAGCGCTCCTGCATCGAAGTCAAAGATCCACCACCCACCTCACCCCAGAGTGAAAATGTCCCTGTAATACCAGTTTATGATTCCACAACAGACCAGAACTACACTCTGAAGGTGGCCTTAGGTAGTTGCGTTTACTGGTCAGAAAAATTTGACAAGTGGATATCATCTGGCTGTCGAGTAAGCGAAAAATTAAATGACGATTTTCAGCACAATCTTTTTTCTATAATTTGGCATTGCATTCAACAAAATTCACATAATTTGAACTTTCCTGAGTATTGTTTGCAAAAGTGTTGTTTTACTGTAATAATCTTTACTCATTAAGCTTATTATTGAATTCAGGCTAATCTTTCATCAGAGAACATTTTCAGTCAAAAGTCGAATCAATTTGTTAACCTGCCGGGGCTTGGCAGCACCTTAAAGCAGAAAAGATACAGTGTGATTAATGGTGACAGCCAAAATGTTAATCTTCCTTGTATTTTATAATTTTAGGTTTTAGCAGAATCAGATGGATTTTTAAACTGTAGCTGTAGCCACTTGACATCATTTGGGGGAAGTCTCTTAGTTGAACCGAATCATATTGACTTGGACAAGGTTCTAGTCGAGTTCCAGCGATTATCAGAAACTGGAAATATTGCTGTAATCGTGGCTATTGCGGTGGTTTTACTGTGTTATGTGGCTGTTCTTGTTATCGTAAGGAAATTCGATATGGAAGACGCGAAAAATGTAAGTGTCGAACCAGATTTTTTGTTTAGGACCGTTGTTTTAGCGGAGCATGCTCTGCAGTATAACCCTTTCACTCTCTTAATCTGATTGTTAATTCTCCCTCCGGTTGCTATACAATTTTTTGTAAATAAGTCATGATAATTTGCTAATAGATCAACATAACAACTTCTACCTGATCAGTTTGAATATTCTCATAATCTGTTACCTAGATAATGTACGAATATGTTGATTCCCAACGAACTCGTTAAACATATCTTAAAAGATATTTAAGTTTAAAATTGAAATGATAGTCCGTTAAATTAAACCACTTTCAGGGTTGACCATTTCTTTCTTTATTTTATTTTATTTTTTTCGGACTGTGACCAGAAAACGAATTAAGAATATAAATCAGCTAGCCGTGTAAATGATTTATGCATTATCATGTTTTTCTAGAGGGAATTACCCATCCAACTTCCATCATCTTCAAGCAGCACCTATGAATATGTTATAGAGATCACTACAGGAGCTTGGAAAAACTCAGGCACGACTGCTCATGTTGCTTTGGAGATTTACGGTTCTGATGGAAAGAGTGGTGTTCTTCAGCTTAGTCAAGAAGAGCCTGATGCAATTAATACGTTGTTCTCTCGAGGTAATTCAGATGTTTTTGTACTTTACGTTAACAAATCACTTGGTTCGATCCAAGGAGTGCAGATTGGGCATGATAATTTTGGAGATAATCCCTCTTGGTACTTAGAGGAAATTCTGATTCGGGATGTACAATCCCAGCAGTCGTGGAAATTCATGACCAACCAGTGGTTTGCTCTAGAGCGCGGAGATGGGCGCATCGAGCGAATAATCGACAAATCCTCAAATCATCTGGATTTTGGCAATGAAGTTGCAAGACTTTGGCGAAGAGGCCTTGCGGAGTGGCATATTTGGATTTCAGTAGCAGTCAAGCTAAGAAGAAGCCGCTTTACAAGAGTACAGCGGCTTTCATGTTGCCTCTCAGTGCTTTTGACAGCCATGTTAACTAACGCGATGTTCTATAATTTAGAGGGCAAATATGAACAGCCTATCCAAGTCGGACCTTTGAAAATGTCGTGGAGACAAGTGGTGACTGGAATTGAAAGTGCGCTTGTTGTGACACCCATAAACATTTTCATAGTGTTTCTGTTTCAGAAAGGAGCTGAAAAGTCTGCGATGAACAATGATTATTGTCTTAACGGTACCCTGATCTCTGGTATCGCTTGGTGTTTGTTGTTTTTTTCTTGTACTGTCTCGGCTGCGTTTTCAATTCTCTACAGTCTAATTTGGAAAAAGAGTGTCAGTGAGCAGTGGCTGTCTTCGATGCTTATCTCATTCGCGCAGGACGTAACTATCAAGGAACCAGTAAAGGTGTTCTTCACAGCTTTAACATTGGCGGCCATTTTAAAGATAAAGGCGAAGAGATCAATAGTAAACACCTGCGAAAGCCCTCAGCAAGTTAAAATTGGGTACTATAAGAAATATTTTTGGGCGCTGCAGTTATCAGAGGTGGAAGAGATGAGGAGACGACAAGCTAGGAAACAGAACCTGACACGTTATTTCACAGAGTTGGTTTTATACTTGGTCTTTGTTTTCTTGTTGATGGCAGTGTGCTATGGAAACAGAAATGACCATCGGTACTTGATGACAAAATCAATTCGAGATGGACTAAAAAATTTCGGCAAGGTAAGTAAACATTATTTGATTATACATGATAACTCCGTTGCAGAAATTCGCGTGTTTAATTTATCTTACAACTTTTCGTTTTCATGGAGGTTGAAAATCAAATATATGAAGGAAAATTTTACTTTGCCTGCCTCATCAAGAACTGGAATTTTTTTCCGTCCTTACAGACGTTCAGTGAATGACTAAGGCATTTTCTGCCCTTGAAATGGATATTTTGAGTGGGAATATCCCTTTAGAATTAGGGTACAAGAGATATGTAAGTGTGTGAGACCCAAATTTGGGACTGGAAAGAAATTCCAAGCGATAGTAATGTAATCCCATGAAGAGATTGGCGTTCAATTCTGCCATAGGAGAAGTGCCAGAAAGTGGCTACCATCTCATGCAAACATAATATTTGAGGGGATGGGTGCAATGGAAATAAGCACGTGAGAATGATGGTCTAAAACACGCCTATAGATGCTAACTCTCTTGTGTGACTCAAACTTTGCTGGTCTATCCATGCCGTTATATTTAAAAAAATAATAATAATAATAATAGTAATAATAAAAATTATATATATATATTCATCTGTCTGATGATCGCGTAAGCATGAAACTCAGTCACAGAAAAGTTACGTCTTACTAATCGATTTTTCCAACTTTCTGATCTTCCACGCTCTGCCAACGCATCGAGCACTATACCGCGAAGATAGACTATAATAAAGATTTATTTATCTTTTTATATAGATACATATATATATATATATAGGAAGTCTGCAAGTCGATTTTCGCGTGGAACAGTGCTCAATACGTTGAAGCAGAGCAGAATAAATATTATGAGAGGGAAAAAGGGACGCAACTACATTTCCTGACAAGCCTGTTTCGTGAATCGCTTCACTCTTCAGGGGTTTAAAGGGGGATTAAACCCCTGAAGAGTGAAGCGATTCATGAAACAGGCTTGTCGGGAAATGTAGTTGCGTCCCTTTTCCCTCTCATAATATTTACATATATATATATATATATATATATATATATATATATATATATAGGAAGTCTGCAAGTCGATTTTCGCGTGAAGCAGTGCTCAATACGTTGAAGCAGAGCAGAATAAATATTATGAGAGGAAAGAAGGACGCAACTACATTTCCCGACAAGCCTGTTTCGTGAATCGCTTCACTCTTCAGGGGTTTAATGAATATACCTTATATATATATATATATATATAATATATATATATATAACTAACTGAAACCCCTGAAGACTGAAGCGATTCACGAGACCCCAAGTGATCTCACATATGTGGTATCATCTAAGCCATGCCAGAGTGCTCAAACTAGAAAAACTAGTGAGTATGCATAATGCTATCAGCAATGACTCATCCTAGTAGAGTGCTCAATTTGGACATGAAAGCAAAGCTTTGTATGCCAAAGAGATATATATATATATATATATATATTAATTAATTAATTAATTTGTTCATCTAACCCAATGATCTTGTATTAATTCAGGTGACAAACAATACAATGTATTGGAGCTGGTTACAGCGTGTTTTCATCCCAGGAGTGTTTTCCGGCAGATGGTACAACGGTCAACAGGATAAGCAAACAATTTATATTGGTAATAAACACTCTCTTCTCGTCGGAATGGCTCGAGTAAGGCAACTTAGAGTGAAAGCGAGTAAGTTTTTTTCCATTTAGGTTAATACTTTTTGCATTTTAGTGAAACCGCTATTTACCCACACACATCATTTTGCATTTTATAGTTATACATGTTTAATTTAGTGTGATAGAGAGGCAATCAGTATCCAAACTTAAGTCAGTGTACAGTTAAACAATAGATTATTGAAATTCTTAATGATTACATATGGAACGTGCATCGGTAACAATTTTCTCGACTGCTGACCATTCTAACAATTATCTAGACGAGTGTTTAGGGTAGCTGCGTTTTTTTATGCACTTGAATTAAATTTGGGTTTTAATGACGGCGTTCGTTTGCTCCGTCGGCAGATGCTACTTTGAAGGCTTCTAAAACAAATTTAATTCTCCTTAACAGATATGTCCATAGTTATTAAAAAGTTGGAAATGTGGCAAATCGCTGAGTGAAATGAATACCTAAAAAAACTTCCTAATCATGATATCTTTTGTTTTCCAACTTTTAGCGCAATGTAAAGTCCCAAACTATATGGAGACATCGTTCCAAGAATGTTTCAAGGTATACTCGACGAAGAACGAAGAGAAGACCGCCTACTACAAACCAGGCTGGAGGCCTATCGACAATGCTACGATTAATCACGAGTTATTACAGCTTTGCCCGAAGCCATGGCGATATCAACATGCCGAAGAAACCGACACTACACCTAGGTGGGGACAGTTCTCCTTTTATGATGGAGGAGGATTTGTAGCAGACCTCGGTTATGATAGCCATACGGCATTCAGCCTATTAACAAATTTACAAAAGAACGGTTGGCTTGACAGGCAAACCAGAGTTGTCCTGGCAGAGTTTTCGACACTCAATCCGTCGGTAAATATTTTAGGTGTTGCTACATACTTCTATGAAGTTGATGCATCTGGACTGAGAGCAGCCTCCACGCAAACTCGTGTTCTTTCACTTGATTCTACGGGCACACCCTCGCATCAGTTTTATTTGATTTGCTTGTTTCTGTACATTCTATTCATTTTTCTGTATTTTGGAAGAGAAACTTTCAAACTGTACAATCTTCGTTCTCGATATTTCAAGTCAATGTGGAATTGGGTCGAGATATTCCAAATTACTTTTTCTCTGATTTCCGTGGTGATGTACATAATGCGACGAAATAGAGCAATTTCAAGCATAGGCAAACTGCATAAAAACATTTACGCAAATCTAAGTTTCCGAGAAGCTATCACTTGCCAAGAGGTAGAAAAAGCCGTACTTGGAATTCTTACTTTCATCGTCACCACCAAGCTGTTGCGCATCATTCGCTTCAACAACTATGTTGCTCTATTCTCCACAACGTTGAAGATATCCGCGCGATCTTTGTCATCGTTTATCATTGTTTTATCCATTTTCTTTGTAGCATTTTTGCACTTCGGTGTCTTGATGTTTGGCTCTGTAACTAAGCGCTACTCTTCGGTGCTGAAAGGAGCTTATTTCCAGCTCGAGCTAACTCTTGGTCGAGTGAAAGCTAGACCAATCAATGAATTAGCGGAGGCTAACACCACATACGCCAAAATATTCACCTTCTTAATTCTCTTCACTCTTACTATTCTGTGCATGAACTTCTTTATCGGCATAATCAACGACGCTCTTTTGTATGCAAAGAACAACGTGAGCGAAAGTGAGCTGTATGAACTTATCAATGAGAACCGTCGCTCGAGCCCAAAAGAAAGAAAAGAATTTTATGATGCAATCAGTAATATATTGAAACAGTCGAGAACCTCCAAAACATCAGCAGAATTGAAGGACAAAGAATCAGGAAACGTTGGCCTTGACCCCAAGAACAGTTCCAATCTCAACTTTGATTTAATAAGTCAACCTATCATAGCTTGGAGGAAGAAAAGATCAAGAGAAACAATAGATAAACAGCAATGTAGCACAAGAAGACAAGCATTGTTCGACAGGATAAGCAACACGTTAAAATCTCTGAAAGGTGAAAGCAATGACGACTGCAGCAAACGTAGAGAAAAAAAGAAAGTAAGATTTCAAGAGGATGTCGTCGAGTCTTCCCTCCATAAATTACGTAAGAGAGAACATGACCTGTTACAGCGGCTGGAGAGTATTGTTTCAGGGTTCACAACAGAAGACGAAGAATTTGATTATTTAAAAAAAAAAGCAGAGGCTCATAACTACTAGGTAGAGAGAGAGTAAAAAGAAAAGGTGAAGGAAAATAAAACACTTCATCGAAAATCAAGGTAAAAAACAGACAGTTAAGCATAAATCATCTCGGACACACAAAGAAATAGCTGTAATTCTCTAGCGTGTCGTAGCATTGTGGCTAATAACAAATCAAAGTGCTCTGTGAGCAAAATCGTGAATTGACACATGATTTTTTGGATTATGTTTAATGTCATCTGGTTTAGGGAATTTTGTGGTTGATTGTCATATCTAGAGTACGAGCAGTAGTTCAGTGTTCGCTAATGTAGCAAAGAAACAAAGTGGCGTTGGGATAAGAAGGCATTACAAATGAAATGATCATGCTATTGCCTTTGACAAGGGTGGATGATATCATGTGTTTTAAACGTATATCATTTCTGTTCTGGTTCAAAAGAAAAGGTTGGAAGTAAATGTGGGTAAAAAGTAAAATTTACTGTCTATCATTGCAAATATTAGAAAATCAAGGCAATACTGTCTTAATGAAAACATTAACGATTCCCTCTTTATCAAATGAGACAAACGGGAACGAGTTTTGAGTGATATAACTAAGCCAAGACTGCCACCGTCATTTTGGATCTCCGCTAGGCAACGTACTGAATCAATAACAAGATAGAATTTCATTTCAAGCCTATTTATCAATTTTGTGGTGTATAACTTTCGCATTTTAGTACGTAATATGTATTTTGAATCTCCAAATTGTCTTGAAACTTAAAAGAAAATTGTACTTTAAAAATTCACTGAAAATCGGCAGCTAAAATTGTTTGTTTAG